CTCAGCCAGGGTCAACCCACCACACAAGGCATTACTCTTAAACCATTTGAATTATTCAGGGGGAAAACAGAAAGATATTGATGATCTCATGGAATCTGATTCTTCATGGCTCTGGAAAAGCCCATTCTGGCATGCAACTTTCCATAAATGCTTTTTTGTTTGGAGTCACACAAAAACAAAGATGTAAAAATAAAGAAGTAAAAATGTTTAACTTACTCTACATTCTTTGTCCAGTCTGGAGGGTTACTCATGGTCATAAATACACAGTTGGTCAAAATAGTGCACATGATAAGCATGCTGAATAATGTAGATTATAGTCAAGGCATGTAAATCAAGAAAGGATGACAGTTTTATAACACTGAAATATTATTAAAAATATCAAGTTTATAAAAATATGTACAAATAACATGACATTATAAATAAAAACTGAAAATAAAGCTTTCCACATAATTTTATCTATTTTAAATGGTATGCCATCTGGCATGCTATGGTGCATTTACTGTAAAATAATGCATTACTTTTATAATTATGGCAGGTTTAGAATTTAAATGAAACTTAAACACACCTTTAAGTGTGTAAAAATATGAAATGAGTACCCAAACATAGTTACTCATCGAAGCCAGAGGGATCAATCTAAAGGATCTTTAGACAGAGTTGGTTGTTTATGCCCAAGTTGTTCTTTGGACATGATTGAAATATATTTGAAAATATTCTCCTTTATTCTGGCCTGGATCTTTTATGGGACACCTACCCCAATGCTGAAAATACAATGTTGGAAAAGTATGCCTGAAATAGCAGCTCTTTCCTCATGCTCTTTTGTCCTCGCTAAGTGAGTCTAGTTCATGAATTGTACCACTGGTCTTGGTAAAAGTGTGACCTTAGATATGTTCAAGTGCAATGGTTTGTTACTAATTTGGCCTTAGCTGCAGGGCTTAGTATGGGATCAGGTCTCCTTTTGTATATAAAGCCTGATATTTAAACTCTGACAGCTTTAGGTAGTTCATAGAGAATTCTCTCAGTAAGAATGAAGATTATACTGGAATTCATATGTGACATTGCTGCTTCTTAAGGGTGATCAGCATATGTTTACTTAGCATAGTACACTTGTCTATCCATATAACTTGTATATCTGTATGAAAAGTATTATTTCAGTAATTAAATAGTTTCAAATGGCAACCCTTAAATCAACATTAAGAAAAAAGGATATGAATGTACCAAAATCTTGATAGCAATTTTTCTGATGGGATTAAAAGGAGTTAAAATGTACAAGGCAGATGTGGCACTGAATCGGAAAATTGCCTTTCCCTTATTCAATACTATGAAAGTCTGCAAAAAAGAAATACAAAATTAAAATACGGTGTTGACTACATAAATGTCTTTACCTCCTCCTAAAGGATTCCATGCTCCTCCGGGGAGGTTCAAGTTCCATTCTACTGTCTACCTGTGGTAGGAAAATAACTGATATCTATGAATACAGTGGATTAAGCCTTCCACAGCCAATTCTCCAATTTGCTAAATTTCCCAGCATGTGGACTGAATTCTGATATTATTAAAATTGGTGGGAATTAGCAGTACCAATGTCAGTTCATCAATAATAGCAAAATGTGGCATTTCATCACTGAAATGTTTTCAATTTTATTTCTAACAAAGTCTTTGATTAAAGTCAGAGTTTCAAATTAATCAAATATATTCCACCTTGTGAACAAACACAACAAAACCAAAATATCAAAAGGGCAATTCTAAATGCCAGTTTGTATTTGGAACAAATATTGTCAGAATTATATACACATATATATGGTGACAAGGACAAACACCTGTCACTAAACAATTAACCATAATTTTAAAATAATTTTGCTTTTATCTTAGATTTTTAAATACTGCCAATATCAGTTATATTTTTTTTCTAAAAATGTATCTGTGAAAAAATAAAAGAGATTAATAAATTGCCAGCTGACATCATTCTGAGCAGTCAATTGTATGCCAGAATGTGGCATCCTATAACAAATCTTTTCTTCAGAAAAATACTGTTTTCATTTTTAACAGTATGTTCTTATTTTCCCTATATGTAAGCACCAAATTTAGGTAGTTACTATCTTTTAAAATTTGACCTGATAAACCTCATGTTCACTTTCATTCTATTGGCGGTCATCTCCTAAGTGTTTTCATTTTTATTCCAAATGTATTTCTGTGTGAGGTTTACTTGCATCTTTGATGCAGTTTGAAATTTCTGCAGGACATGACTATTCTTCATTCCTTTTGCTCTTTGTCGATGGTAATGGCTCTGCTTTGTGTTACCATAATAGAGTCTTTGTTATGCTCTCAGCAGAGCTATATAGTATCACTGTTCTCCATGCTGATTTCCATTCTCTGTAAGAACTTGGCTGTGATCAGAAAAATGCTGCCCTCTCCATGGCCTTTACTGCCTGTCTGGTCTGCTGTCTCTGGGAGAGAAGGCAAAGCTCTCCACAGTGAGAAAGAAATCAGGTAAAGGAGTGTTGCTGGTGCCTCCTGTTCACAGAATAACATCAAGCATAGCGTTGAGGATGACAGCGAATGAGCTCAAACTCATTGGCATTTCTCTCTGCCCTACAGTCCTTCACCCTTGAAGCTTGAAATGGTAGAAAGATGTTGCCTGTCCCAAGATCACTGCTGCAGCAGAGCCTGAAGACAGACTACATACAATTCATGTATAGTTTTCTCTGCATCGACAAGTCAATAATTAAGAGTAGTTTATGCTATAAGCTGGAGGAGGAAGGACTAATTCTAGTTCATCATTTAAGATGTCCATTTGGTTTTTGTTGAGCACATTAGGCTGGTATGTAACATAAATACAGGTGTCACCTGTGACAAAAGATTCTGCAGTTTACTAATGACGCTCATAGACTAACAAGTCCATCAGTAATCTGAGGTTTTACACTTCTGTTCCAAAAAAATCTGACTACTTTTTCTAGTCATTGCAGGTTAGAAAGTATAATTCAGTACTTCTCAGGTTTTATGATACTTCATTTGTAGAAGACTTGTTTAGAAAACTTCATTCCTGAACTTATTTATGCAACTTTATTCCTGAATTTTTTTGTAGCTAGTCAAGAAAAGGTTTTAGTGCACTTAATTATATTGTAAGTAAGAATCTACATGGAACCATTGATATAACCAAAACCATATAAATGAAAATAACCCTTGGCAACACTCCTTCTCTGAGCTGTCATTTCTTTAAGTTTCCTTAATAATGTTAATATTTGTATTATATACAGCACAGTTTATTTAACTTTGGCAACTGTTAGGTTATGCAATTACATATGGATTCTGCTTTATTTTGCATTCCTATTACTGAAACCATAATTTTAAAAACAGTTTTGCGGACCAAAGGCAAACACAAATTTAGCCACAAAATTGAGAGTACTATTGGCATGATTTTTTCCTAACAAAGTATGTTTCTTTACAGTTTAAAATATTTTATGTCTTAATTTTTTTATAGTTGCTCAACATCAAGTTTCTTATCTCAATGGCAGCCTAGAACACTTCAAGCCGTTATCAGAGCAACTGTGTCCATTTCCTTCTCTGTTTCAGAGAGATGGCAAAAGATAATCCCAAGCACTTGTCTATAAAACACCTTCTGCATTTTTTAATTTAGAGTTATTATCCACGGCTTCATCTTCCTTCACTCTCCTTACCTATAACACTTACCAGGTCTATCAGGAACTGAAAGAACATCTTGATGCTGCTAAAGGAGCATGCGGAAATAAGCAGATAGTACAGAAGAGAACCTGCTCTTATTTTCAGCTGTACCTTTTACTAATCCATTCAGGAGGTATTTTTAACTATTCTCAGGCTGTATTATTTCAGCTCCTGGAGGAATTTAACACAGTCTACAACTAATCCCAGCTACAGAGATATACTTGTTTGTTCCTTGTCTTTCTCTTGTCATATAATGGTAGTCTGTTTCCAGATTGTATGCATCATTGCTACAAGACCAAAAACCATATACTGTACTGCAGATCCTGACTTTTAAAAAGGTTAAGGGGCAAACTTTTTACTTGAATAGATCTGTTTGAACTAGCCTTTCTATCTCCAAATCCCTGGCTTGCAGATCACGTGAAAATGAGGACTTTGTATGACTGTGCACATCAGAAGGGGAAGTACACATCTTTTAGGAGTTTACATTCTTCATGGAACACAACTATGCTATTAACAGTCCAGTTGTGTTGTAGACTTACACGTGTAACTCAGGCACATTACTTTTCTCTCACAACAAGTAACTCTTTGCTGTGTATGAAAACTCTCAATTAGTCTTCAGAACAACAAAACTTTTCAATTCCTTCCTCAAAACCCAGCTTTTCTGTGCTGTCTGCCACAGACTTCTATTTGACAGCTGTGCAGCAGAGATCTATCATAGCAATCCCAAGCACCGTAAGCATCAGTAGTAGAAGTTTTATACGTCCCTAGATTTACACAGAGTCTCTATATGCTACATATATTATATATACATATATAGATATATGTTTACATATAGCTATAACAGAAACAAAGAATATGGTTACAGTCCTTTATTTCACAAATTTGGATGGATGCTACGTGGTTATCTACAACCATCTACAACCAGCAAAACCATGCTTGGAACACCTCTTTTGTCCCATCCAGTCTTAATGCTACATTGAAATCAGGAAAATTCAGTCATGTTCTCAAGTTCAGGCAAGCTCAGGAAAGCTGTATCTTCCTTACACTGAGATAAATAACAAGTAACTCAATGGAAGTTGAAGGAGTCACAACACAGAACAGCATAAATCAGTTCTGTTAAATGAAAAGGTATTTCTGTATATTTAGTGGCTTTTTGACTCTAACCATCATATTTTGAGATTAAACTTTTCTAGTGTAGAAAATTATATTCTATTTTGTGCAAAAGATTATTCACTCACTTTTTGATTGATATAATATGGGTCCAGGTCTTCCAAAGGTTCAGATACCATTCCTGGAGGTATGTCACCATAAATAAATGGCAGTGTCTTTCCTGCCTCCAAGTCACTGTTTGGTTTTGGACCATTTTCATCATCATCATCTGTATGTTCTTGCTTGGGCTTTTTAGCTTTTTCTTCTGCAGAACGCTTTTCAATAGCTGCGAGAGAATCTCTAGTAAAATAGCGGAAGCTTTCAGGTCCTGGTGGTACCAGCAGTGCCTGTGCCATGTTTTCATCCTGCAAATTTAATTACTTTTAGCCTCTTGCATAAGAATGACCTATAAAAGAAAATTAGATAATTTAGGAAAACTAGATTGTACCAACAGAAAAAACCCCAACACTTGCTCAGAAACTCTTTCCTAGGCCTGAAATAGAAGCAGCATATTTCAAGGCTGAGTGAAAGTTAAAAGCAACTGCTCAGAATTTATTTAGATATATAATAAATTATTTTTCAGCTTTTTCCTGCTGGTCTAGAAAAAGACACTACTGCCCACAAACACTGCTTTGCCTATGTCCTTAGACTCTCCCAGTCAGAGCAAAATACTGATTTTTAACAGTGTGTATATATATATATTTTTTTTTTTAACAGCCAGCGAGTATAAATGCATATTCTGTGAAGTACTCTTGAAAATTGTAAACCTATATTGTACTAGTTAATACATTTTATCTTCCTGTATTTTTTCAAATATCAGTAATCAAACTTTACAAACTTAAATAATTTCATTAAATGTACAAAAAAGGTTTTGTACAATTAATACAGTTTGAAAGACAGCAACTGAATTATAGGAGGAACAAGCATAATTCTTTCATACTGACAGTTTACTGTGCTGAAGGTTAATGTTAGATACCAAAGCAGGTTAGGTTGCATTTATTGACTGTCTGTGAGCTGTGAATCAAGACCACAGGCCTTTTACTTAAAAGGAAACAGGATATACAATGAAGACTATGTGGGAAAGGAATACTGATCCTGATTTTTTGCAAGGCAAGTGTCATAATATTATTTCAGACTAAAACTAGTTTGAAATCTAAGACTCTGGTTCCCTATGAATGTCTTAGGTGCTAGTGCTGGATGATGTAGTCCCTGCTGCTTTTTCCTGCTCTCTGCACCAAACTGTCTCTTTATGAAGCCCTGCAGTGCATTGGTTGAAAGTAATGTTCTTTTCTCTCTTCCAAGTCCTTCTGTAGCAGGACCAGTTCCTTAAACTGACACACTGTACAGCACAGTGGAGAGGTCTGAATGACTGGAGGGAGGGAATGACAAAAGGAAGGCAGATCTGGTTAAGAAGTGCCACCAAGTAAGAAATGATAGTCTTATTTGATGTCTACTTTGCAAAAGTTTGTGGCATAGTGTAGTAATAATTTTAATTATGAAAACAAACTTTTAAGAGTGAGTTTCAGTGCCTGAAATGAGTTCTAATTGAGTTTTCTGTGCATGAGCCACATAGCCTTCCCTATGTTACCTCATGAATGTGCAACATCTGTATTCTGGAGTTGCTACATCTAGATGTGAGACATAATATTGTATTCATTTGCATTCATTCCGTAGTCTTTCTCTGAAAGCTTCTTGCCTGTCTGGAGCAGTCTGTAGAAATCACACACATACACAAAGTGCTACAGCAATGATCTTAAGAAATCATGGATTCCTCTTCAAATGACCCCCCAAAAATAAAATCCTGTATAAAAGTAGAAGGGGATGTTAAAAGTGCTTGAAGAATCTACAATAGAAAACTGGACAAAAGAAATGAGCCTGCATATTCCTAAATCTGAATTACCAGTCCAATGACATGGTTGGTAAACCTGCTTCTGTGCCACCTCAAGTCTTTACCTCTGGAGTGGGTTCACAGCACAGCACCAGTGTGTATGATCAGCACAAGATGGAAGCCTTTGCTCATACCTTTTTTTTATTAATGTAACTCCCAATTATCAGGATCCTAAACTCACAATTGTCTTTTATCTGAGAATTAAAAGCACACCCATTCTCTGGATACAGTCCATACTCCTTTGATTATTGCTTTTGCCCATCCGGGATTAATAAACTGAGAAGATATTTGAGGTTTCTCTTTGGTCTTTCTGAATAATTGATTCCTTTATTCCACATTTTATGGGTCTGTGATTCAAGTTGTTGACCTAGGTGCCTTTTCTATGAAAATAGTCTTAAAAGGTGCACCCTTCTATAGTCATCAGTGGATCTGTCTTCTTTTTATAGTTCAGTGCATTTGGTTAGGCTGCTTTTCATCCATTAACAGTTATGGTTATGAATGCTATAATAAAATACATTGTACTCACTAGAAATATATGTATTTCTATTGCTAGAAGTCTACAAAGGGGCCAATGAATGACTGGGAAAAATAATATTAGCAGACTTGGGGTTGCACTGTATTTTTCAGTCATAAACCATGCTTTAAAAAAATTTTCTTGACAAGTTGGAAACATTACTTGAGTCCTGCCTCCACTACTGTCTAGTGCAGTTATATATTTCCTGGCTGCTGCTATTACACAAGAAGGTTTTTCCTATGCTAAATATTCCCCAAGTGTTTTTATTCAGATTACAGAGCTTAATAGAACAACGCACAAATACGTGTTTGATTACTGTTGCTATCCATGCAGTAGTTTAATAGAACAATGAAAGAAAAGTAATTCTGTTCCCTGCACTGAACCCTCAACAAGCACTTATCAATCCTCAAACTAAGAACCGCTCGTTTGTTAGTGATAGCTTCCCTCTTGTTCCTTCAGTGATTTTAAAATCGCTTGTTATCCAGGAATTAAACTGCCAATACATGGGTGATACTAGGCAGAATTCAGACAAAAAATTCTGTGTATCTAATAGTTTCAGAATAGCGTTCATCAAAAAACAATATTTAAAGCAATAGTCTCAAAAAGACATGTGGTCCAGGTCCTTCAGTACCTGATACCGCTCAGCAAAAAAATTTCAAGTATTTGAAATACAATTTGGGCCTAGATACAATATGTATAATGGTCTACAATTCAATAGATTTCATTAGGAAAAATAAGCTCCAATTTATCAAAGACATGCTTTTGCCAAATATATCCATTTAGTCATATTTGAGCATTGCATTCCATAAATCCTTCTCCAGTTTTCCTTCAGTCCCTTCCTTTAAATAATAAGATTGAGCAATAAACAGTATCCATATGTTCTTAATTTTATGCATATTTCAGTTAATTATGTTATGTCCATGGATAACTTGTTACATTTTATTTTTGAATATAATTATCTTCTCACAATTTACACAGAAGATGATGCAGAAAGTAATTGAAATATCTGTGCTAACAATGTCAGGTGAATTTTTGTGTGTCTCTGGAAAAGCCAGAAGTGGCTGAAGGTATCTGTTTTTATGATATCTTAAATCAGGCAAATGGTAAAAGTGAAAGTATCAGTGTAAGAACCAGGTGGATACTATGATTATTTATTAAAATCTTCAGGTTATCTAACAGGTTATTTGCATTCTGCATGAAACAGTCCACGTACACCCTTCAAAATTTTAAAGGTGGAGAAATAGTAAGAAATGAGTCATCTTAACTCCCTCTCATAGTATTTGGGAAGTTGTTTTGCAAAATTCAGGTATTAGCTTTCTGGAAGTGAAAATAAGTTATGTTTAAGTTTCTGATTCTATAATTCTGTGCTCTAATCAAATTCCAAACTGGGTAATGCTGCATTCAATTTATCCTAAAAAAAAAAAAAAAAAAAAAAAAGGGTAAATATTAGTTTGTTGTGAAGATGATCTAAAATGAAATATTTTTATTGAAATTTCTCATGACATTTGTGCACAGAGGCTAATTTCACAAAGAAAAACCTATTCCCGTATCTGCTGAAATGCTTTGAAATATTTTTACAGTTACAGATTATTATCTTTTCATAACTGACATTTACCTTGTTTTTCCTGGCATATTTACACTATTGTTTTACTGCTTTAAAAATATTTGAATAAGAAACGGAACTCCAATAAGAAAAAAAGAGCCCCAAAGCGTCACTACTATAATTCAAAGTGGTAAATGCAATGTAATGCAGAATTAATTGAGATATCTAAAGAGATATCTGGTGAAAACTATCCATGCGTCCTAAGTCAAGGAATGCATGAATGTTGGTTCCAGAAAAGTAGGTATTTTCAAGGAAAGGAGTGACTTCCTCAAAGCTGAAAACAGCCTCCAGCATTTAGTGCCTGCTCAGAACCTGCCTCTTCTTTAAACTGTAATCTACTAATTTAAACTACGATAATTTGTGTTTACAGGTCCTAACTGACTAATATGTAGGATTTGTTTTCCTTTTTTTCCATTCTTTCCAACATTTATCATTCATCTATTGTGTCATTTTCCTCAGACTATAATTTATCTCTAGCAATGACTATAATTTTTGTCTGGATTTGTACAGTCAGCTTCAGTAGCCTGTAGGCATTAGTGTTATGTAACTATTCAAAATAAAAATAATGAAATCACCACCAGGTATTTATTAATAAAATTAATAAATCTCAGAAGACAATAATACTTACTTGTTATAAGAATATGAAATCAACTAATAAGAGTATGTAACAGAAATAACATTTCCTTAATAAAATCTTACTTGAAAAGGATTTACAATGGGGTAGTGATATGGGGCTGAATATGAACTGGTAGTTGCCATTGGCTGAAACCTGACCGAAGAACAAGAAATACAGGAAATACTAATGAATTAATACTGATGTGGTGCTTCATGGAGTTTGCATGCAATTTTATTTGATGTCCTCAGTAATGACTTGCAATAAGGTGTGAAAGCCTGTTAACTAAATCTTAAGAACCCCAACCTCAACAAAAGAAAGTACTGTAAGAGTTTGGAAATCTGGGCAAAATATAATACATGAGGCTCAATCTGACTGGTGAAAGACTAGGCAGATGGGAAAACACTTATAACATTAGATTAGAGACTAAAAAGCGTTCTCAGACCTGTCTGAAGGATCCAGAAGCTGCTTCTTGGGAGGATATTTTTGGACACTGCTCGCTCTCATCAAGACATTGCTATGGACAGTCTTTCCCCCCCGCTTATTTGCCTGTTTGTGCCCACTGCCATTCCACACTCCTCTCTTTTCTTCCCTCTCTACCTCACTGCACCATTCACTTTCAAATTTTGTTCCTGTTTCTTCTCTCCTCCTGCCTAGGAGTGGAAATAGTGGATTAAGATTCTTTACATCAAGGCCAGCATATGCTGTACCTACTAAACTGGAGTAATCAAAAATAGATAGGTTATGTAAAGAAATGAACCTGGATTCCTCAGATACATACCAACAAG